TAGCTAGCTGCCTGCGTAGCTAGCTAGCTAGCTAGCTGCCTGGGTGGCTAGCTAGCTGCCTGCGTAGCTAGCTAGCTAGCTAGCCACCCAGCTGGCTAGCCGGTCACTGGGAGCTTAGGTGCGGGTGGATGGAAGGCGAGGGAGAAAGGGAGACGGCTGGCGGGACAGAGATGGAGCCAGCTAGCTAGCTAGCTAGCTAGCTGGCTGGCTAGCTAGCTAGGCAGAGAGCTATCCAGGGGACACCTGAGGGGACGGCTATTGGGGGAGCTAGCTGGCTGTCTAGCTGGCTAGCTATCTGGCTGGCTAGCTGGCTGGCTAGCTAGCTGCTTGATGAGACAACTAGCTGGTTAGCTAGCTCGCTGGCTGGTGGCGCAGCTAGCCAGCAGGCCAGCGACACAAGTGGCTAGGCTAGCTGGCTAGCGAGGCAGCTGGCTAGCTAGCTAGCTAGCTAGCTAGCTAGCTGGCTGGCTAGCTAGCTAGCTGCATGAGGGAGCCAGCTGTCCTGGCGGCTTGCCAGACGGCTGGCTGTGGGGCGCCGCTGCAGCTGCTCACAGGAGGGAGTTTTGCTCCCCCCAGGCAGCTGCCGCCGCAGCAGCTGCAGCAGCAGCAGCAGCAGCAGCTGCTGCTGCTGCTGCTGCTGCTGCAGCTGCTGCTCTTTCCTATAACAAAGTTTAGAGACCTAGACATGTTTGCAAATGGAAACAGGACTCCTGTCTCCCCAAGTGTATACACGCGTCGACTCGCTTAGGAGCGACGCGCTGCTGCAGCAGCAGCTGCTGCAGCAGCTGCTGCAGCAGCAGCTGCAGCAGCAGCTGCAGCAGTAGCTGCAGCAGCAGCAGCAGCAGTAGCTGCAGCAGTAGCAGTAGCTGCCGCAGCTGCCCTTGTAGCGCAAGAATCGGCAGCTGCAGCAGCGCCACGGCAAGCAGCACTGGCTGCTGCCGCAGCGTCGGCAGTCTCTGCTGCTGCTGCTGCAGCAGCAGGTGCTGCTGCAGGACTAGCCTCTGCTGCAGCAGTAGGTGCTGCTGCATGAGTAGTTTCTGCTGCAGCAGCTGCTGCAGCAGCTGCTGCAGCAGCTGCTGCAGCAGGCAGCAGTGCAGCTAAAGGCCCTGGGACGCGCAGCGGAAGGAACATACTTAGGAGTGCTGCAGTGCTGCTGCTGCTGCTGCTGTTGCACCTGCTGCTGCTGCTGCACCTGTTGCTACTGCAGCAGCAAATAGAAAAGGGGCCCCTCAGTCTCCTTTTGAATTTCCTTTTGTCTCTTTTGCTGCTTTCTGTCTTCTGGCTCCCAGCCTTTTCTTTCTGTGTTGCGTGCTGCTGCGGAGCTGCTGCAGCAACTGCTGCTCCTGCTGCTGCTGTTGCTGCTGCTGCTGCTGCTGCTGCTGCTGCTGCTGCTGCTGCTCCTGCGGGGGGCGAAGGCCGGAGGACAAAGGCGCGAAAACGAGGTGCCACAGAGACGATCCCAGCACGAAGAGACGATCCCACGGCGCCTCGCTGCTGCTGCTGCTGCTGCTGCTGCTGCTGCTGCTGCTGGTGCTGCTGCTGCTGCGGGAGGGTGTTGAGCTTCTGGCTGCGTTGCTGCTGCAGCAGCCGCAGCCCTGACAGCAGCAGCGCCGACTGCAGCAGCGAGGGCCGCTGCTGCTGCTGCTGCTGCTGCGCCAGCAGCAAGACCCACCACTGTCTTGCGGGGAGACACCACTGCAGCAGGAGGCAGGGGGCCCCCTTTGTAAATAAAATTAAAAAGACTATTTAGACTTTTGCTGCCAAAGAAAGTCCCAAACAAATAAGCAGCAGAGTCGTTGAGGGCCAGCAGCAGCAGCGCGTACAGCAGCAGCCAGCGGGGCCCCCAGGGGGGCCCCGCGGCCCTGCAGCACGCAGCAGCAGCAGCAGCAGCAGCAGCAGCAGCAGACCCCGCAGCAGCAGCAGCAGCAGCGGCGACGGACCCTGCAGCAGCAGCAGCAGACGCGCCCCCCGATACCAGCACCTGCAGGAACGACTTCCGCCGCCGCGCCGCCGCAGGGGCTGCTGCTGCTCGCTCTGCTGCTGCTGCTGCTGCTGCTG